CTCCTCGGCCGCCGAGCAGCCACCGTCTCCAGCGGCCGCTCATGGGATCCGACAGGCGGAAAAATAATGAACAACACCTCAACCCGGAGCTGACCTGGCTCCAATTCACCAGCTCCACACGAGGAGTAAACGAACCACTTAAGTGAGCCTTTCGAGATCAAATCATGCGGCCCTCGCCCGTCTCCGCAACCCGGCTCCCCTCACACACTCCCACTTTTAACTTCCCAAACAGTCAAGATATTTCCCCACATAAACAAACATTCTGTTTCATTATGCTATGACTGGACTGGTTGTGGTGCCCAGGCCTGCTATAAACTTTCATTTCTAAACTGGTTAAACTGATTAAGATTATGGCTGTGCTGCTTTAGGTCGGTTTGGGATACCAACATTACATCTGCTTGATAAATAAAAGCACAGTGAGGGAAGTTTATAGAAAATGTTTAATTACTTTCTTCAGATTGGGAAGCTTACATACAGCTCACCAGTCATGTTGAGTCCGCTTTGATTAAACTCCAGTTTGTTTACCTGGAAAGTGTTGTTCACTTGGGGAGGTGTGAAAGTCTAATCAAACTCTGACGCTAACAACAAAAAAAGCTAACTCCAGTCCGCCTACACACCTCGCTCTCCGTTCAGTTAAAGTGAACTCTGGTGAAGTTCCTATGTGAACGCAAAGCGTCCTCGAGTGCACTCCAAAAGCAGCAAGTGGACTAAAGTGCAGGTCATTCTGGGTAAATAAAAACAAAATAAACGTGACAATCTAGTTCTATCAGGAGAAGCGATTCATGGTTTTTTGGCCCAACACAAAAATGAAACCCTACCACCGCTAAAATCTGATCCCAATGTGTTTTTGTTTACATTTGGTAAAGGAAGTCACGCTCAGTGTCTTCTTCAGAAGTTTCCTTCCGTGGATCTTTGGTGCAGCGACCCCTCTGGCTCGAAGGGGAACAAGCTTTTCAAAGGCTTTGGTTCGTTTGACACGGTGCTGTGTGAAATCAAAATGCACCAGCTGAAAATGCAACAAATGTTACAATTCTGGTCCTCAATCAAAACTACTCCACCAGGGTATAATGTGTGAAAACATTCCTAAAGTCTTGGTGAAAATTAATGCGAAACTAGATAGAAATAAATCTTATGACATTGCCGAAGCTTATGGAAACGTTGCCACAGTGAATGCGTGCGGTAGTCAAAGCTAACGATGTTCCAATGAAATATTAGCGTGTGACCTTTTTTTGTTTTGGTGCACTTTTCACGAAGCTCATATTTCTGTTTTGCAACGTTTCTTTTTTTATTGGCCAAATGTAATGTCCTAATTTGTAATTATTTGAAATTGAAAATAATTAACAGAAATAAATGCTGTCAAACATCCATCTGCGTGTCATTACAATGTGTGTCACTTATTGATTCGTCCATTTCTTTCAGGAACTTAATCACTAATATTCAAATTTTTCCACTGGCTCTGTATTTATCCCCTTTTTGCTGTGATACCTCAAAATCAATTCCACTGCAAACAAATGCCTTTAAAATTATAATTTGGAAAATAAATTTTCCACTTGTGTGCAGCTCATGCGGAAAAAGGATGATGGCGTCATCATCCTGCCTGGATTCTGATGTTTAGGAATGTAAGCCATGGAGTCTGTTACTGTAGATCAGTCCGGGACACGGATAGCGCCTTGCTCTGACATCACCGTCACTCTGTGTCCTTATTTGACCCCTGCAGTCAGGAAATCCTTGATGAAGCTGATCCATCTCGTGAAACATGGAACAGTTGCTTTCTGTCCTCTCCCTAAGATGTCTCTCATTAGTGAGGCGCACCTCTCTCCCGGTCCATTGGGGAGCAATTTGGGGCTGGGGGTCACGTTGGGTGGGCTTAGGTCATGAACCTACAGTATATAGTCATCCAGCGAAACAGCACAGGGAGACCCGTGCTTAACCCGCTTCCCAGCCGCTCCAACAATGCCGCTTTTCATATGTCGAGCCGATGCAGCCGTGCTATTGCCAAATTAGGACGGGATGCCTGAGGTTCTAGGCGCAAGAGAAGGTGATCAAACAGAGCTCGGGTCAATGGATCCGCCTCTAATTGAGAAGTTCACACTTGGCAGCGGGGCAACTCTTTCGGCAGACAGTGCTGCTGCTGTCTGCCAAAGGGGAAGAGTTTTGAGTCAGCCTGGGGTCATCGGCTGCTTGTTCAGAAGTCATTGGGGCACAAAGGTAGAAATCTGGTTTATGTGATGAAGGTGACAGAATGTCAACGAGCTATACTGATCCAAACTCTAGGATGTGGGTAATCTCTGAATATGGATTTCTTTAGGACTTTGTACATAATTTAAAAGCAGCACTAGGGGCTGGAAACAACTTCTTCTATCTCAATTTGAGTCAAAATGTTATTCCCTGATGAAAAACATAACTTACTGCTGCTTTGAGTCTTTCACGCATGTTTGAGAAATCCTTCAATCTCCAAGGCAACCGTTCAACCGTCCAAAACAACTGGGTGGACCGAGCCCCGCCTGGGTGGACCGAGCCCCGCCTGGGTGGACCGAGCCCCGCCTGGGTGGACCGAGCCCCGCCTTCCAGGACGAAGCTCCTCCTCAAGAGCTCCAGTTTCCAAGCTCCTGAGTTTCTGTGTTGTCTTAAAGTCAAAGACATTCCAACACGTCTGCGTGTTGGAGCTAAAAAAGGATCTGGGGATAAAAGTAAATTGCGTTACATTCAGATGTCATCATGCTAAAAAAAAAAAAAAAAAGCAGGCCTAAAATTTTGATAAAAGATGAATTAGGCAAATAAAAATAAATAAAAAATAACTTTGGGCCAAAAAGAATTTACTGAGACCATTATTTTAGGAATATTGTGATAACATTCTTTAAGGTAATGTTATCACCTTTAGGAAGGTGACAATATTAAGGGGTGACCTTATTAAGATTACATTCAAAAACTAACAATAATAATTTGGGTTATTTATTAGCCCCTCATAAGTAACCCAAATTATTTATAACAATAACTTATTGTCATAAATATATTAAACAAAGTTAATATATTTTCAGATCTCATCCCATTACAGTACATTACATCAGCAAGAGGGAACACATAGAGGCTAAAACTGGACATGTCCCAATATCAGCCCTAGGGGGACTCCAGAGTTAATTGTAAATAAAAAAAATTAAAAAGGTCCAGCCACCGCCGGCAGTGGTTTTACTAAGAGTCGAGAAAATGAGTCTCTCCTTATCATGAGTCATCTGTTGGAGCTGGATCATGTGTAAATGACAGATCACCATCGCTCAGATCCAAACCAATCTGAGACTTGGCCAACAGAGTACAAGTCATTTCTGCATGACGATTCAAAAACCTCGATGCGTGATTGACTCTGTGTAACAGAACTCCAGTCACTAAATCCTCAGACCGTTTTCCTGTTTCTGCACCATGTGTGGTAAATGTTTGCAGAGAGGTTTCGCGACGTGCTGATTCTTAGCAGAAACAAAGTAACGCGGCTCCCTCTCTTATTTGGGACAAAGTGCTGGAAACAAAGGGGATGCTTAAATCCCGCTGGCCTAACAGGGATATCTTCACCTCTCTTCAGAGAGCACCTAATTGATGCATGCGGATTGGCGTACAGGACAGAGGACAATGGCGCCATTGTTTCGGGGTTTTCTGTACCAAGACATCTGTCAACTGCTGCGTCTTTGCAAAATGCTTGGCTTTACTCCAGACGAGAACCTTTTCATCTTCCCAGCGCGCCTCATTCCCGCCTCTGGCTGCAGAGCTCCTGGTGGAGGAAGTCAGGCTTCATTCATTTATCTTTTCCTGTCAACAGGGCCGCGTTTTATTAATGTTTTATTAATGTTTTATTAATGTTTTATTAAAACGCTTTCAACAAAGTGTGAGTTGTAGGTGAAATAATTTCCCAGTGGACCAGGTACTTTTTCATCAACATTAAGAAATGATTGACGTAAAACAAGCTCCTGTATCTTGATGTAAAGCTACCTGTAATTGTGTTTTCTTTTATGTTAGTGTACTGAAATATTTGCTCTACAACCTAAACCAGAAATGCTTGGTATGATTTTTTTGTTTTTGCAATACATACATGGATCCTTTTGTACACATATAATTACTGATCTTTTTATTGGTCTGGTCATTCAAATCCAATTATTTCATGGGGTGCAGTCAAAAACAGCCAATGCAATTATTGCTTTTAACATAAATATAGCTAAAATGTAGAAACATTTGCTTCCAATTTTATTTAAATTGCTACATGTAAAAAGTATTATGTTTATTAATATGAGGAATGGTGGCACATTTGGGCCTCCATACAAAAGGATCTGAGTCCAGTGGAAATTACATAACCAAACAGAACAAGTGTTTTATTGTTAGAAAACTGTCAATCTAAGGTTAAAAGCCTTCCAGAGGATAATCTTTATCTTAAGCTCTGTGAAAACAGTTCAACCTTAACTGTTTTAATCTGAGTCAAAAGTATATTTTGTCCTATAAATCTGGGTTTTTGGATCTTGCAGTCTCAGAAGTCTAAATAGAAAATCTGAAAGCATATGAAAATTTTGTTCATATGCTTTTTAGAGTCAGACTTAGCAAATTTAGTTAAAAAAGAAAAGCACTTAAAACACAACTTCTCATTAAAGCAATAATATTCATCCATCATCATGCGTGCTTAACCCTAGTGGGGTCACAAGGGCTGCTGGTGCCTATCTCTAGTGCTCTAAAATAAAATCTAAACCAGTTATTTTTTAAATGGTTTAGCATTTTTAATGCAACCATTTAAAAAATGCGAAAGATGCTGAGACGTAAACATAAGTAAAGTTGTGCGAATACAAGGAACAAGAATGACTTTTCTGTTTGTATTTTCTGTGAACTGACATGAAATAGAGCAACACATCACACTTTTGTCAAAATGCATTAGAAACTGGATCAATTTTATTTAGTCAGACTAATGGTGTGATGCATTTCATCAAGAGTAAAAAAAAAAAAACATGTCAGTAATTGATATAAAAGCCATTTAATGATTGTCAAACTGAATCCTGAGGGAAATAAACAAGACAGAATATATTGCTTTACAGATAATGTATATTAATAAAATCTGTGTTTTTAGTGATGCTGTTTTTTTGCTGCATCCTGGAAGCTAATATTTGCATATTTAATCAGACAGTGTTTTTGGACAAACAGTAGAAAATGCCTATGAACATAAATAGCATAAATACTCCCAAAAGGATTTTTTTCTTTTTTTAAAAAAATGTTACAAAAATACACATTTAACAGGAAAGCCACAGTGCTGAGGTTTCAGTCAACATGGAGGACGTCAGACACAAGGCAGCAGGTATTGGCTGGTCGGGTAGCATTTAGCATGAGTACCACAGTTTCACAGTATTTACAGATGAGTTTAAAACGACAGCAAATGTAAAACGTGATGTAGCTGCTGTTCCATAAATCAGAAAACAATTAGTCATAATGGTGCTTAAATAGCACAGTTGTCACTGTTGCAATAATGTCTGTAGCTGCATTTCAATTGCACAAAGTTTACTTCTGGAAATAAAAACGCCAAGTTTCTGTATGGATTTTTTTATCAAAATAAATGCGTTTTGCAAAACTGCAGTAAAAACACTTTTTCGGTGCAGTTTTTACAAAGCGGCAACCCACTTACTTATAGGAACTGGCCTCTTTGGAAGATAGAGGCCATCTGGCTATAAATAACAGTTTACATCCATCGTTGCAATTAATTTTATTTTTTTTTTTAAAGAACGAACTTCTTCACGTGTGATTTTAAATGCATTTCTTATTTAACTGCAAAGTTGTGCATTTGTTTTTTTAACATTGGCAGAACATCAAAAGTTTTGCACACATCATGGAAATGCAGCTGTAGACATTTATTCTGATCTTGTTTCATAAGCTAAATTTTCACCTGATAAATTTAGCAGTGGTTTTTAAGTGCTTATTGGGCAGAATATCACATGTTTTAGGTGTTGTAGTTATATAACAACCAAAAGATTAGTCAGATAATCCAGCAGAGACAGAGCTTGTTAATCAACTAGTTTGATTAACAAACCAGCTGAAGTTTTCCAACAACCTTTTGTTAATAGGCATAACGCGTGATGCTACTTCAGGTTCCACACTGATTACCATGTCTTTGTTGTTTGGTTTTTTTATTTCCAAGCAACAAGAAGTCGTCTTCCTTGTAAAACTTAGGAGAAGCGTGGCGCTTCCTTTCTCGGCCTGCTCATGAGCACTGTGCAGCAGCAGGTGGGGGAGGGGCGGCAATGAAAACCGTGAGAACTGTGGTCAGCGCTTTTGCTTGCCGTCTCATTAAAGGACTTAGACTGTAGGGAGGATTTTTGAAACCACAACTTCCCAAAATCTCATTTGGTCCTGCTTCATAAGGCAAGCATATGAGTGAACATATTAGCAAAACTGCATTTGTCGAACAAAATAATACAAACCCTTTGTGGGCCGCTCTAGTAAATGACTGTCCTTTTGAGGTATCGCTGGTGTCACATAGGCAACTTTGGCAGCTTTGTGTTAGTAATGAACAAGCCCTTTTATTGAGTGAAACTTATAGAACTGTGAAGGTTTGGGCTCAACTTTAAATATGTTTGTAAGGTGTGTCACAAAAAAAAAATATATATATATATATATATATATATTTCACTTTTTGATGTTATATGATTGAAGTTTAGTTGAAAAAGGTGCTCAGGTGTAAGTGAAAGTAGACGTTTGTTGTTGTTTTTTTGTGTTTTTTGCATTTCTTTAAGCTCTTTGATGTTAGTCAGACACTCCAGCTCAGTCCATGCTGTGACGTCTCTGTGGGAAATATGGAGTATTGATGCGCGTTCTGAGTGGGATTCTCAAAGAGAGTCTTCCAGCAGGTGAGGCGTCGTCCCCTAGAGCTCAGTCCCGTCCCTGGGGAAGATCAAGCTGTTCACACTGAAGCTGTTGTAGAAGTGAGCGTTGAACTGTCCGCTCTGCCCGCCGCCAAACGTGTTGTAGTACACTCCCCGGTTAAAATGCAAGCCCTCGCCGTGGTCGGGAGGCCCCGCCCCCGCCTCCTGCCCAGTGCCGCCGCTGGGGTGGTAGGGGCTCAGAGCCGTTATGTTCCTGTTCGACAGCTCGTTCACCAGTCCCAGGGACCCCTGTCGGCCGGGGGCCCCCGAGCCGAGCGCCGACATGTTGCTGTAAAAGTTATTGAAACACGGAGCGGCGGCGGCCAGCCCCGCCGGCGACGACGACGAGCTCTTGTGGTTTTCGTTCATGGCTTCCATCTCCGGGGAAGAAGGCCCCAGGAGCTGGGGGCTGTCCGAGGCCTTCATGGGGCCCGCCGCCGCCGGCCGGCCGTCCTCCAGCTTCGTGGCTGCGGCCGCAGCTGCTCCTCCGGAAAGGCTGGGGTCCGACCGTCGTTTCCTTTTCCGCCGGAAGTTTCCATTATCAAACATCTTTTCGCAGTTGGGATCCAACGTCCAATAGTTTCCTTTTCCTGCAAAGAGGAATAGAAAAGAAATTAATTTCAGTCATTTATTTTCTCTGCATGCAAACTTTAATCTTTAAAATATGTCAAGTGAGATTTATTTTTCTTCTTCTTTTGACCAAGACATGAAATCAAATCTGCGATTTTTTGTTTTTTCTTCAGAAAGTATAAATTTACTTGAGCAAAAATAAATAAAAATTGATAGAGGTTAACTTTAAGTACATGTAATATAAATTTTACAAATGGTAAAAAAAAATTAAAAGAATACAATTGTGTTGAAACTTTGTCCCTTCTTCCTAATTTCACTCCATACATTCATATCTTTTTTCATTTATTTTTGAAAAAGGTGATTAAAATCTAATTGTATCGTTGTGTACATACTGGAAAAATGAGACAATCTCTTACTTTACATCATAAGTCTTTTTTTTTCCGGAAATCACATTCAAATTAGTTTTTTATAGTTTCTTACCATAAAAACAACAACAAAACAACATCCAACAACTTGTCAGATTTCTATTTTAAGATGAAACTGGCAGATTCTCTTTTTATTTGAGAATTATTAGTACTTTTGTCATAAGAACTGATCTTTGTATTTTTATTTCTAAAACATTCTACACATTTTGAGAAATACTTCAAAGTTGTTTTCACCCTTTTATTGTTTTTGCAGGTATTTCACATTAAAAGTGAAAAAAACAACTCATTCTTTCAAGATTTTAATGATACCCATGCAATATTTAACAAACTTTTAGTAATTATATAAAAACAGAATCTTTGGTATTTACACTTGTCTTTGTATTTTTAAGTGCTCTAAAGTTTTTTTTTTTTTTTTTTTTTACATATAACAGAATTATAAACCAAGCTATTTTAGATATAACGAATTACTTAGTAGTTTGTTCTGAATGCAAAGGCATAATGTAATTTTGGGCTGTTTTATTTGTTTATAAAATTTTTCACTTTAAAGAAAATCCAGTTCAGTTGCTCCTCATGTGTAATTCCACAATCTCAGTGGGCCAACAGCACAACACTTCAACAAATGCATATTTAAATCTGAACTGTACACCTATACATTGTTACATGAATGAAATGATTTTTCAGTCTAGTTTTTGCCCTTGTCCCGTACAACAGCAATGCATGAAAGCAGCTGCTCTGACCAAACATTCAATGAGCCAGTGATCATTTTAATAAGAAAAGGAACCATGAAAATAATTTAATTACCCATGTGTGTGATTTCCTAGTGCACATTTAATTCTAACTTGTTGCCGTTCTATATAAGCTATATTTTGATAAACTTACATTTAAAAAGAGGGGTGGGATGGCATTACATGCTAGATTAGCTAATTTAGCATTGCAATCATTCATATTGTAAAAATATAGTGCTAACAATACTACATAAAATGTTTAATTTATGTACAATTTTGTTCAAATCGTGACATGTTTGATGATTTATGTGTTGAACTGTGGCACGTTTGACCTCCCATACACTGAAGCGCCTCTAAGCCTTTCCAAGGTGTTTCTGTTACCTGGGTCGTCCTCGTCCCGCGGGACTTTTTTGAAGCAGTCGTTCAGAGACAGATTGTGCCGGATGGAGTTCTGCCAGCCGGCTTTGCTCTTCTTATAAAAAGGGAAATTGTCGGCCACGTACTGGTAGATCTGACTCAGGGTCAGCTTCTTCTCGTGCGCGTTCTGGATGGCCATGGCGATGAGGGCGGAGTAGGAGTACGGCGGCCGCACGAGCTTCAGCAGCTCCTCCTGGCTGGCGATGGACAGCCAGCCCAGGTCGGGCCCTCCGAAGCCCGGCGAGTTGGCGAGGAACTGCCGCTGCGAGCCGTACGAGGGCGGCATGAACGGCGTCGGGTTGTTGCCGTGCAGGTAAGACGCGGAGGAATTCACGGCCGGCCCATTGAGCCACAGGTACGGGTTCGGGGAGGAGGCGTAGTCGCCGAGGCCGTAGCCGGCGGGTCTTTGCGCGCCCTGGAGGCTCTGCTGGTGGTACACGCTGCTGAAGTTGTCGCAGTAGACCGCGGCTGCCATGTCCGGGGACTCCTGGGCGCCTTTATGGGAAAGAGTGCCGACGGTCGGGGAGGTGTGGTGCTGGTGCTGGTGATGGGACTGAGGGTCGATGGAGTTCATCACTCCCCGCGGGAAAACCCAAAGGAGACGCTGAAGCGGTTCGGTGTGGACTCTCTCGATGATGCGCGTGCAGCTGCAACAAGTGTCAGAAAGAGTGAAGCGGGTTGGAGGAGCTTTAAAAGGGGGGCGGGGGGTAGGTGGTGGGGTTAGAGGGGGGGTGAGGGGGGAGGTGAGGGGGGGTCTGGAGAGCCGCCAGACTCAGACCGAGGAGAACTCCCAGTAACTCCTGGCAACCAATAAGAGGCCAGAGGGCGTGGCTACACACCCATTGAGCTGAGAGCAGGTCAGCGGCTCCGTTTAATAAAATTCATTGAGAGAAACTTTTCCAACAGGAGGATGCTGCGACCGTTTAACCTCAAACAACAACAACAACAACACGGGACAGAAAGGGCTGCGTGGCCTTCAGGACTTTTAATTGAAAGTGCTTCCGGGTCATGACAGCGGGGTATTCTTCTTTTTTCACGTTTTACAGAGAACGGAGGGGTCTTTAATTTTCACCTTTGACCTCACTGGTTTTGACACAGAATACAAATCAGAGCCATTTAGCTGACTTATTTGGTCGCCCACCAACCAGCAGGAATCCAGGCTCTGACAGATCTGTTAGTTTGTCTTTTAAGACATAATCCTGTCCTCTGCTCACTGCCTGGATTAATCACACACAATGGAGCTTGTTACCTGCATAAAAGACACCTACCTGTCCGCACTCAGTTAAACTCCAACCTGTCCACTAGGGACAAGATCAAAGATTAATGACCTGGAGGGACCACAGTGTCAAAGGTTAACATAGTAATGCACTCTTCCTTCCAGGAATAAAATGCTGCAGGTTGCTTCATTTTGGAGAGATGAGGGGGGGGGGGGGGGGAACACAAAAATAAAAATCTGTTTTTCAATCTTTACTATAAAATCTAAGTTAAGATAATTTATTGAAGTACTCGTTGTCAAGCTCATCTTTCTGATTGGCTGCCAGTTTAATTTATCAAGCTGCTTTGCTCTTTAAGCTAACAAAGCTAGCAAGCCCAAAATCTACAACTTTCTGACAAGAACAAGACAAAAGAAGATATTACATACGTAAACCCACATTGAAAAACGTAGGTTTTCATTTTTATTTCCACGATACAGGCTCTTGCAAGGCATCCCATAAAGAAAAAGTATGTTCATAGTTTCTAAATCAAAATGAACAATTTGTCACTCTAAAACTGATTGTCCTTTCTCACAAGCACCACAACTTTAAAACAGATTTTATTTATTGATTTGAATTTTTCTCATATTCAAATTCAGTGGGGATGGAATTAAATAATCTATTCAGCTGACAAGGTGAACACTTAGAGATGAGCAAATTGTCACATCCACAGATCTGTGTGCATGTTGGCGTGTGTGTGTATTTGTGTGTGTGTCCTTTCTCCTCTCCTTACAGCACGTAACTGGCAGGTGTGTCCTTAACTTGGAGTTCATCAAGGTCAATCAGGCAGGAGGAGATTAGCTTAAAGAGGAGTGGGTTCCCTGATTCAAATGCCAGATTGTTTTGGTCACCAGTGATATTCAGGCTCTTCTGATGTCTGAATGTGCCTTGAGTTTCTGACACTCACTTTTCTGTTTCAAAAATGTTTCATTTTCTTGTTGCCGTTACACGTCTGGACTGCAGTACTTTGGTTCCTCTGTGCATCGGTTGGAAGAACTTCACCCAGGACTCCATCGCAACTCTCCTCACTATCTGCGTTTCCATTACAAACATGTGCAAAACTTTGTCAATATTCCGTTAATGTAAAAAAACAAAACAAAACAAAAAAAAACACAATTTTGCAACTGAAATCAAATGTAAATAAGTTACTTCACATAAGTTATTAAAAACCATGCCTCGCCATGATCCTCCAACTACTTCCTGTTGTCATCTTGTTCGTGGTTTGTGCCAGCGACAACATCCAATTGTTGATCATGTGACTCATGTGATGTGTAAAGTGTTTCCATTAAAATTTTGCAAAATAAATCATTTTGACACAGCCAGTAAAAAACACCTCATCCTAGCGGCAAAACTTTTCATTGGTGGTTTTCCGTTAAGCAAAGTTATTTTGGAAATGTCAAATTGTGTATTGATATGGTCGATGGAAACACACCTACTGCTCCTCTGCCCACCTTTTGTAGAACCACCATCCCGGATTTCAACCGACTCACTAGCCTATCCGCCGCTAACACACTGGCACAGTTGGTAGCACTGTTGCCTTGCAGCAAGAAGGTCCTTGGTTCGATTCCTGGCCCCGGGTCTTTCTGCACAGAGTTTGCATGTTCTCCCTGTGCATGATGGATTTTCTCCGGGTACTCTACAGTCCAAAAACACGACTATCAGGTTAATTGGTCTCTCTAAATTCTCAGTGTGTGTGAGTGCATGGTCTGTCTCTATCTCTGTGTGTTGCCCTGCGACAGACTGGTGACCTGTCCAGGGTGACCCTGCTTCTCGCCCGGAACGTCAGCTGGAGAGGCACCAGCACCTCATGACCCCACTGGGGACGAGGGTGTTAGAAAATGGATGGATGGGACAATCGGCAACAAACCCTGCCAACCTCAACTCGTGCGGATGTGCTAGCCCCCTCCTGGAACACCTCCTCCTCTCCACCAGTATAAACACCTTTTCTTCTTGAGTTCAAAATCAATCTCTCAGACCTCAGACATTAACAACTTACCACTCCTAACTTCCTATAACGTTGACCTGGACTGCTGCCGTTGTCCTCATCTTGCTGTACACATTTACAAATGAACGTCTCAAGCTGTATTTTGGACTTCTCTGATTGTTACTTGCACTATGATCTCATGTCTTAACAAATTATGACAGTAAAGATTTAAATATCACACTGTTCTTTGTGTTTTGATTCCAAGAAGCCAGACTCTTTTGTAAACCTTTTCAGCCTTTCTGAAGATTCTTCAGTTTTTCTTGAGAGATTGACTTCTTTATTATTATTATTATTATTATTTCCTGGGAAACTGGATGGGACTAAATGCAGGGCTATCCTGGTCGAGAACATATTAGAGGCTGCAAGAGACTTGAGATTAGGATGGAGGTTCATTGACGTTGACCCTAAACATACAATCAGAGCTACGACAGAATGATTTAGGTCACATTTTATTTATGGTAAAACATCAGAGTCTGTGGCAAAATTTGAAAATGGATGTTTACACGCACTCGCTACTCAGTGACTGAGCTTGAGCCATCTTGCAAACAAGGGTGGACAACAATTTTCAATATCCAGGTGTGCAAAGCCGGTAGACTCCAAAAGACTTACAGCTGTAGCTGCAGTGAAAGGCTCTGCCGGCAATGACTCAGTAGGAATTGACACAAACACACACCGCACTCAAACAAACGCACACAGACAGTGAAGAGCTACTGCAGTGTGCGCTGCGCATCGTAAGTAGAAAGAAAACCCCAACAAATAACGTCTCTCACTAGCAGAGACTGGAGTCCTGCTGTTAACGAGAAGGAGCCGTTCCAAAGAATCGGATCCTTCATCATTACAACATAATTCATGTCTGGGCTCAGCTTGTTAGTTTTTAAATATCTAGAATGCTAAGTCTAGCTAGTTAACATTCTAACTAGAACCAGGAATCGTTCTGGTCACTGCTCTATAAAAACCATTGACAGATGATTTGATAGTGAGCAGCTGGGTTGCAGCAAGGAAGCTAAACAAGCTATTTGGTAAGTAACTAATTAGCCCACAACACTCGAGAGCAACAAAGTACTTTTTAAACAACATCTGACCAGAACTAAACTTTTACAAAGTTTCACTTCATTCTTAGACATAGTGATCAAAATCGAAAGTAAGAAAAGAAATGTGAAAATCAGACACATAAAAAGGTACGTTTAATAGTAAACTGATAATGATTTCATAACAGACATTGTATAGATAAATGTATATATATATATATATATTAAAATTAATACTAATAGTTTATTTTAGTTTTATTTTTCTCACTTGTTAAATATATGCCTTTGTCTTTTGTTAGATGTCTGAAAATAGATTTTCTGTTTTTTTTTCTGTCTTATTTGGTCACATTCTGAAAATATGATTTGAAAGTTGAATGAAATTAAAAAAAAAATAAAGCTAATTTAAAGAATATTATTCAAAAGAAAAGACCTCCAAATGGTTCTACGAAAGAAAACAGAAAAACACAAACAGAACAAACAGCAGCACCAGGAGGTGTTTTTGACAGAAGTCCTTCTCCCAGAGGAGTCACTGATGGAGTCACACTGCCACCTGCAGACGCCGGTTCCTCTGTGCCCGCCTGCCCGGCCTCCCTGCGTCAGATCCACAGGTCCAGTTGTGAGCTGCAACTCATTCTCACCACTAGATGGAGGCAGCTCCCTGCAGAACAAGGAGCTGAAACAGCAGAGAAAGAAATCTGCAAGAAGAGATCAGCAGATGGCTGCAGTCTCCAATGAGCTCCTGGGACGTTTTTGGCATCTGGAATCTTATTGGACTGTTTGCTTTGTTTACCTCGAGGGACCTAAATGTTAAATTGAGGAGATTAGATTAGATTAGATAAAGGTTATCCCAGTCTGCTATGGAGACTGTCTCCATTTTGCCTAAGATAGTCAGCAGTTAATTTTCTTTTCAGGGGGAGTCGGGCCCCTCTGAGCCCCACTGTGATTACTTTGGTGGATATTGACACATTATCTGCAGTAAAAACACTAAAACGACTGAGGTTTTCTTCTAATGCAACTTTCCCATTGAGTTCCAGGCCACAGCGTAATTGTCCGCTGAGCAGCAGGAGTCGCTCTGTCTGACTGTAATTCTATAATATCGGGGTTGGCCATGACAATAATCCCTGGGCTCATCGGGCATCGCCAGAACCGCTTCACAACCCAAAATATATCTACATGAGAATGAGAAATCGTGGAAAAGGGAGGAATCGCTGGCTCTGGAACACGGACTCGTTCTCAAAAAAGAAAGCTTCTGCTTTCTCAGAGCAGAAAATGTGGATCGTTAACAGGATATTGGCAACATTAATGCGGTGACTTGGGGGAGAAAAAAAAATGCTGAAATGTGGGAATCAGGATCCGCATGCTGGATATGT